CAGGATTCCCCAGCCAGCTATGCTGGCTGGGGAATCCTGGGAGTTGAAGTCCACACATCTTCAAGAGGTCAAGAAATGCTGGACCAGGGGGAGGTTGTCTTCAAAAAGAGGTTGGCACCCTTTGTGTGGCCACCCACATATTACACCGCCCAGAGTGAGATGGGTGGCCATATACTTTGGACAAATCAGTGAATAAATATTCCTCCCGTAAGCCTGGTGGTTGCAATACAGATGAGGCCCCAGGCTGCTAGGGGAGCAGGGAGTTCGGAGGGCTTGCACCACGTCAGGAGGTGCTGCACCCCCACAATTGAGGCCCCCCCAATCTGAGGTCAGCACCCCACGGCGCCTTGGGAAAGGCCACAGGAGAAACACTTCCCCCTTCCTCGATTGAATCACGGGCTACCTTTTTGGCCAAAGCAGCGAACTAAACCAGAGCAGACCCGCAAATCGCACCCTGTGTCGTTACGGCAATGACGGAGCTGAACCGAAGGAGAAACGCCGTTGGAAAAGGGAAGGCGACAGGAAGAAAAACATTTGGATGTCACGGTAAAGCACGGAGAGAACCGCAATTGAAACAGGCCGTTTTTCGGAGTCTTCGTGGGGAAGGTCCAGAGACACCAGTACAAAAATGCCCCTGACTTGACTGGCTACCAATCAAACTGATCTTAACAGCCGCGCAACAGGTGGGCCTTTAAATCCGAACTCAAAACCCCTGCAGATGCTGCTTCAAACCACGTGTTCAGGAAATAATAGTTGGCCACGCTTGGCGTTTCGCATACCTGCCACCTGCCCGGATGTTTCCCCCCTCCTTTAACCCAGACTAAAACATGTCCTCCGGCTTCTTACAGGCAGCCGAAGTATTTCTCGATTGATGAAGTACAAGCAACTCACCTTGTCTCTGGATTATAGCCCAGAATATAGAAAAAAGAGTCCATTCGAGCTTTGAACTCTCTAGCAGCAAAGATGTCAGAGAAATGGGAGATGTTACATTTTCCCCTGCAAAGAAGGGAGGGAAAAGGAATGTCAGGTAGGGAATCGCTGGGTGGATAATGGCTTACTTAGCTGAGAGCGCCCTGAAGACCCACATCGCTGGTCCAGATTGAGAAACTCCTCCTCTCTCTGATGGAGATACTGAATCTTCTATATAAAGAAAGAGCTGTAATGGGCTATTTTTATTTAAATAAAACCCAGCAACCTGCTAAACGAGATGCCCGCAATCCCAGATGACTTCAAGCCAATTATGAACACGTGGAATTCACTTTCTGTCTGCAGTCTAGGACACTGTCTACCTCGATTCCCACACTTGCAACTTAAATTAATTGACTCACTTTATTTCTTCCCTGGGTGGTTGTAGATAAAACCGGTGCTTGTGGCTCCTGAGAGCCAAAGAGTGGAATTTTGTGTTTAAAGGACAAGTGGGCAGATGAGTGTTTTCATGCAAAACCAGCAAGGCTGGGCTACAATCTGCAGAAAAACCTACAATACAGACTCTCAAAGAATATTGAGGACATGAGTGGGAAAGGGGAGTCGTCACAAAGCAATTAGTGTGTTGCTGTTGCTTTTTAAAAAAACTTTTTAACATAGTTTAAAACAAAGGACATACATATTATCATGGGCATCTTGATTAACTATAAACTAACATAGTTAACTGCGCATCACCACAGGTGCCCACTAGTTATTCATGTCAAGGGCTCTTGCTAAGGGAACTGCAGAAACAACCCCATATGAATGGAGGAGAACAGCCCCAGAGGACGAAGATTGATCTTTGAGAAGCAATAGCAAGATTGGGCTAGGGATTCCAACCCTACAGGTTGGTGGGTTTTCCAGAGACTTGGTTGGCTACTGTGGAAGGTGAAATGAGGCCCAGATAGGCCTATTTTTCCCAACCTGGTACCCTCCAGCTGCAGTGAGACTACAGTTCCAGAATTCCCAAGGGCCATCCTTGGTGGGAATCCAGGGGAGGCTGTAAACTTGGAAGGCAAGATACACCAAATCTCTCTTCTTGTGGGGCAGCAGAACACCTTGATTAATGTGTTAGGGCCTCTTTGAAGCTTCTGAATCTTGGCACGTTTGCATGATGGGCTAAGAGTCCCTTTCTTTCACAGGCCTGTAAGAGGATGACCCACCTACTGACAGTTGGTAGAGTTATTCCTCCTCCTCCTCAGATTCAGCACAATCTCTTCCAACAACAAAGGTATTATTGCCACAATTTCCAGAACACCACTGGCAGCACCTGAAGGTTTTGAAAGCGTCTGTGGCATTCCCCAATTTGATGCTCTCTAGATGCATGGGCACTGCAACTCTCAGAATTCCTAATCAGCTGGGGTGGGGGAGTACATTGTAGTCCCAACATGTCTACAGAGTGCCAGGTGGTGGAAGGCTAGTCTACACCAACCTCTCCAGTCAGAACTCTTAGAGGGCATCATGCCCAACACTGGGGCATTTCTGCATCTGCAGAGCAAAGAAGAGGGCCCCTCTATCTTTCCTCACAGCAACACAAACAGGTTCCTCGGAGAAAAACTACACAGAAGAACATGTGTGCGTGTTATGTCTAGGGGGAGAGGGGAGATCTTCAAGTCCGGCACAGCTGATCTATCGACCTCACACCAGTTCCTGCTCTCCCTTTCTGTTTTGATCAGAAGGATGTGGTAGACTTCCTGGCAGTATCCAACTCGTGCCGGTATTGTGGACATCCCAGCTCCCCCAATGGAAGGTTCCAAGTTGATCTTGGAAGGGAAGAAAGAGAAAGGAGAGCCACCTGCAAGAAATCCAAGCCAAAAGAGGCGGTTTCACTTTCTGATAGCAGGGGCTCTGACTGATTCGACTCAGACGCCATTTCAGCCAAGGGTGAACCCCCTGCCTTCAGTGTATGACGGGCAGGGAAATCAATCCATTCGCGCTTCAACAGGAGCCCTGTCCTGCAAGACAGAAGAACAACAGGCCCAGCGCTGGTGTCCTTTTTGTATGAATTCAGCAGGAGAAGTGGATCCTCATTTCTTCAACTCATCAAGGGGAGAAAGGAGGAGGTAAAAGATTAATCGCTGCTCCCCAGGTAGAGGGGAAACACTGTGTGTGGATTGACAAGGTGCACAGTTTGAGTTGGAAACCTAAGACACCCATTTTTCACTGAGAAACAGAGACACAGCCCAACCTCTGGAGGGCAACAGTTTTTTCACCCTTGCACAACTGCACCTGGATTAAGACACGAAGAACCAAGAACCATCAAACACCTTCCAAGTCACTCCATTTTGGTTCAGCCTTGTAAGTTTCGTGCAGAATGCAGCTGGTTCCCAATGCTCTAAATGGGTGTTTCTCAGCTTCAGCGACTTTAAGATGTGTGGACTTCAACTCCCAGAATTCCCCAGCCAGCAAAGAAAGACCACATCTGGCACGATAGGAAAGTTACTTCCTGAACGCAGTGGAATTACACTAGGTTCTAAAATGAGTTTTTCAAACAATTTCTTCAGTGGGTTTTTAGCCACTCACCTGAGGGCAGCAGCGTGGTAAGTATCAACATAGTCTGAAATGAACAGCTCCCGGTTCTTGATCACTGGGTCCGTAATAACCAGCTCACGCCCAGAATCTGCAGAAAGAAAGCCACGCATTTAGTGGTGCTTCTAGTGGCCACTCTCCCTAAGGCACACTCCTAGCAGGGCTTCTCTGGAGCTCTCAAAAGGCCACTCAAAATGTTCAGATGTCAAAGGAGGAGGCAAGACTTTGCTCTGCATGGAACAGATCTTGGTCTGGATCTTCATGCTCTTGGCATGAAGAGTTGCCAGGAAAGACCAGGATCTGCTTGGATAAACCCTGGACAGATGGTCCAAGCCAGAAAATCTGGCGATGCTAACGGATGGACCTGGTATAAGGCAGTTCTTATGTTGCCACTCAAGTATGGATCCCAGATTACTTTCCTCCAGGTTTTCTTGGGACCCATCGCTTCCTTTTACACCAGTCGCACGTCATGTTGGGAACTGAAAGGTCCACAAAGATTCAGCTTTCCCCAGAAGACATTGCACAGCCCAAGATTACCAAGAGGAAACTACCAGGAGTGGCTGTGCTAATGAGATGTTGCGTCTCCATGTTTCCTTTGAAGTTGGTTTTCTAGCTTTTGTGATCAAAGGAAAAGAGCAGGCCTGGGAAAGATCTTCCCCAAGTCCAGAAATCTGAAGCAACAGAAATGGAGCCTTCCATGCTCCAGGACTTCACTCCACCTTCTTCTTTTGAGAGTGTCCCTTTTTGCCTGTCTTCTCCACCTGGTCACAAACAGGCATGAAGGCACCTAATGCTTTGGACAGCTGACGCTCAACAGGCTGCAACTTGGCAGCCGCGGGATGCCGTGTCCGCTGCTGCGAGTTTTCCAAAGGAAAAAACGGAACGTTAACGCAACGTAACTCAAACGGACCGAGCGTGCTCTGCCCGCAGAGATCGGCTTACCGTTTTCGTTGTGTCGGTCCTGGACTAAATGTTGGTAAACGGAATCTGGGACTTCGGATTGGCGGTAATACCACTTGACGTTCATGAGAAGATGGTCCCTCTTGCTCTGCAAGGAAAGGAAGGAAACGTCTGTTACGGACAAGGGATCTGAATTAGCCTGCTGGCACATTCCCATGTGGGTGGACGTGGCAAGGAGCTACAAGAAAACCGAGTTATTTGGCCCATCAAAGGAGGGAGATGAGAAAGAAGAGAGACCCACTCTGGTGGCAAGACTAGATAAGGAAAACACAACATGGCACATACGTGTATCAGAGACTATTCTTCCCAGCAAGGACAGATTGTAAAACACGCCTGCCTACATGTACACAGTGTCTGCCTGGCCTATGGGCAGATAGTAAAGTAAACCAGGGTCTTAAATTGTCCTTCCAGAATTCTGACACCCAGCACTTAAATAACTGGGCTTCCTCTGAATACGGCTGTTTTTAAGGCTGAAAGCAAGGAACAGATGCTCTTCATCCTGAGGTACCTTTAGATTAATTGATTTAACTTAAACTTCTATCTCCAACTAAGGTTCATCTCCTTAGATGAGAATCCCACATGCTTATTCGTACTTGCAACTCGAGGAGATAGGGAGAAAAAAGGGCATTTTCACCATGTGATATTCAGAACCGTTCACAGGTAGCAGATTCAGCAGCTCTAACAACACAGCCACGAGGAAGAAGTAATTCTGGTTCTCGTGAGGTGGCTAATACCGTTCTGAAGTGCTTTAGAAGCCTAGCAAGTTATTTAAGTAATGGGTGCAGTTAATTCCATTCCTGTATTATTTTGCAGCTCCAGGTTGCATCAACTCTTTTCTCTTCTCTGCCCTCCCTTCATCATGCTATAATGGTAGAAGCCTTGGTTGGGGGGGGGGGAGCACATGTAATACTGTAAAAAATCCAGCCAGTGGCAGCATTGTGTCGGGAAAAAAAAAATCAAGATTTTTCAGAAACTGCTTGCAATGCTATATGGCTGGCACTGTTTTTTAAAAGGCAATAGAAATGACAAAAATATTGTGGGCAAAGGAGCTTAAGGAATCAGCCACAAGTGAACTGCTCTAGCCCAAAGAGACTGCAATCAAAACTGAATTTGGTCATTCGATGGACTAGCTCCTGTTGAAAGGATCTCAAATAGCAATGGGGATGGAGGAAGAACATAGCCTCTGCTTGAAAGCCTGTGACCATACAAGTAAACTGGGCCAATTGGTCACAAATCCAATGGCAGGAAGAGCCAGGGCTTTCTGATTCAAAAAGAGGCAAATTGCGTTTATTAGGGAGCCTGCAAATCTTGGTCAGTTCACAAGGTTGAGTCGGGAACAGTGGTTCGATGGGAAAGAACTCTTGGTTTTGAGAGGCGCCGTTCCCATCTGCATCCCTGTCTTTGCTCTCAGAAGATCACAACAGCATAGATGCAATTCCTTTTGTCCCCCAAGGTACCCCGATAAGGTGCCCCATGTAAGGAAGGCCTGTTATCACTGGACAACATGGCTAGAACCCGGATCGCCCAGTTTGAGGTCTTAGCCACTGCAACCATGCTGATGGATCCCTCGCAAGGGGCCTTCCTCTGGCATGGGTGAGGAGGGAGAAGGAGATTTCTCTCTTCGGTCTGCATTTAAAAGGAATCCAGCATTTAAAAAAAAAATCACTGAAGAAACATTTACAGAAGAAAAACGTTTAAGGAAAAAGAAAATAAAGAAAAGGAAAAGGAAAGGGGTGAGAAAAGAATAAAGCAATGAAAGAGAAAGGAGAGAAATCGGGGGGAAAAAGAGAAAAAAAGGCAAAATATAAAGAACGACTTCTGATCTTCCTTACAGCAGTTATAAAGGCATTCAAATTTTATCCTCTCTCTCTAAGGTTACATCCTAACTCCCTTCTTTCCACAATTGACCCTTTCTAATCCTCAAACCCATAAATCACCAGTTCACTTTTCCAGTTTCCAGCAAGAAGTCCATAAAGGGTTTCCAGCCACTAACAAATGGGGTTCTTGTGGAATGCAGCGTTTTGGAAACGCCTTGCCCAATTCTACGGGTCCCCCGTCGTAAGGAGCCTGAAAGGCTTTAGCTGATTATTCTCCAACCAATCCATTCAGGCAAGACTGCAGAAGACGGAGCAGGCCAAGGCACCCGAGATACGACGGACATCCATTCCCCCGACGTAAAGGCAGCAGGTTCCAAATGAGCTTTCAGGAGCACTATTGAAAGGAGGGTGCACATGTGGGCAAGGAAAGAGTTATATTTCCCCCTACAAGCAAATCCCTTTTTCTCTGATGAAAAGCCCACCTGCCTCCTGCTTAAACTGCACGTCTCCTGCCCTGACATCATTTCCCAGAACAAAACAGATTGAGAAACAGAAGCAAGGCCGAAGCAGCTGGAGTTCAGGGTCTGGAATATGATTAGAGTGACAGCCAGCGGAGAGGAGGATACCCTTTCTCATATATCGCTTTATCAATTCAGAGAGCAGGAGATATGGGGGAGGAGGGAGAAACCCATATCAGCAGAATCCCTCTTCCCCCCCCGAAGCGTTCTTTATAAAAACTGGTGCACTTTGGGGGCCCAAATATTGAGCCACACTTTAAACCAGGAACACCACCTCGCTGGAGTGTTAGTGATCGCAGAAGCCACCGCCCAGACAATTTCAAGGCTAGGCGCGGAGCCGTGCAGTCTAGGAGCTTGATCTCCGTCTTAAAACAAGCCGAAATTGCAAGGGATCGAATTCTGTGCCCTCCGTCCAGTTCCTGGGGAAGCACAGCAGGCAGGCCCAGTTAGAGAAAATGCTCTTTTGACGGTGTAGGAATGATTGCGTGGCTACAGCACAGGCTGACAATTGGAGAAGGGAGGGGGGCATGTCCAAGAAAGCAATGTTGGCTTGTAGAGTGTCCTTGGTTGTGGGAACAGGCGCAACGCACAGCCAAGCGGTGTCCGGTCCCTCCACCGTTTCGGGCTGTGAGTCCAATTTCTCTGCACACAACACCAACCTCGTAGGCACGACGGCCCAAAACGACAGAGAAAGCTGCTGGCACCTTACGTTGCCCTCCCTGCTCACCTGGCAAGGTCTGGAAAACAAACGCCCACCCTCAGAAGAGCAGCAAAGCAAAATCTTGGCTGTTTACAACAGATGCACCAAAGAGCGGGTTACATTAAATCCCCCAACAGGTGATGCGAATGCAAAATGTGCTGAGACATGAGTTTGTTCCAACCTGCTCTTGGCTGATACCAAAAGGCTCTGCTCTTGCAAATCACAGCTCCCCTGTACATTATCATGTCAGCGCGATCGCTCCTTTTGTGCCCAATAAATTTGAAAGGCTTAGCGCTGAAAATCAGGGGGAGCCTTCTCCTCCGGGAAAGGGGCGTGGAAAACCAGAAACCAGAACTTACTAACAATATCAGTGCCGCATCATATCATACAAGCACTTGTGGGGGTACCGAGGTCACAGAGTCCACCCCCAGTCTCCCTTCCCCGGCATCGTATGGTGAAGAAGCCCTTTGGTTCCTGCAATAATTTCATGCAAAACGAGTGTGGCCAGATCCGCACTCCTGCTTCCTTTTCAGCGTGGAAGCGGGCTGCCGTGCCAATTTTTCTCTGAGGAATCGCTTCCTCTATCGCTTCCTTTTTAATCTTTAATAGCAGCTGTTCTGGGAGGAAAAGCTTCGCTTCCGCACGTGCCGTCTGGTTTCCCTGGAGAGAAGCAGCCATTCGCTTCCAGCAGGGAGCCCGAGTCAAGGGCTCGGGACTTCCGGATCCAGAGTTTGCAGATCTCCGAAGGAGGGTGGACCAGCCTTCTACAGGGGTGCGCCATTTCTCCTTCTAGACTGGTAGCTTCTACTCGGAGACCCTACACTTTGCATCGACTTGGGCCCGGAGTGCGGCAGCCGATGAGGCCTGCTCCCTGGGGGGAAGTAGGTTGCACGGCACTGATGAAGAGGTTGCACGTGGCATCTCTGGAGGATTCCCTGCGTCCTCCCAGCCAACCGCCCCGTAGAGTGTTTTGACTGCATCCTTGCACTGAATACAGCCGGGCCATCTAACACACAGGAACATGGATTCCCACAGCCTCTGGAATACTGCATGTATCTCAACTCGGCACTGGGTTCCTCTCAATCTGGAGTCATTGGCCGATGGTCAAGGAGGATGGGAGCTCTGGGTCAAACCAGCAGGTCAGGGGGCGGACTTCATCTGATCTTTGGGGAAGGAACAGCGCTTCTGTCTGCCTGAGACCCTGTTGGTCTCCTGGTCCCTGAATTCAAGAAACCCACCTGCAAAGCGCCATCCGCTGGTGGCAGCAAAGTCCTTAACTTAACAGATGCTGTGCGAACTGCTCTCTTGGGCTGCTTCGGCCCCCTTTCCCCCCAACCATCACAGAGGTTAAGCACCGGCCACCTGAAGTCTGCAAAACGCTGGCTTCGAAGGAAGGGCCACGAGAAGCTATTTTTAAGCCTGCCCGTAGCCTCCCCTTGCTTCCAAAGGCTTGCCGCTACGTAGTGCAGCTTAAAGCATTCTTTCCACAGGCACCATTAAAGAGCAACTGCTAAAACAGTTTTTCAACCACCTGGCGCGTTGGGCGCCGGCACTTGCCACATGCGCACTTATGTAAACACAAGGGGTGTACCCTGCGCGGGGAGATGCGCGGAAGAGAGAGAGAACCCAGCCTTCCAGCCCAAGGAGAAGGAGAACAAAAGCCCAACAGGAGATCAGTGAAGTTCCACCCCGGTAGCAAATTATGGTTCTTGAGTCCCGGCTTTCAGGGCAGAGAGACGGGGTTCTGCGGCCTGGAACATATCAGCCCCCGTGCACAGACTGAACACAGCGTGGAAAGAGGGAGAGAAAACCCACAGCAGATCTAGACAGTGGGTCAGCGGGCAGGCGCTCATCACACGGAGTACGGAGGAAAAGCAGAATTGATCCCGGAGGCACGGCTGCTGGCTGGCCTGGCCAGTGAGCTTCTCAGCAGCATCTGGTCGGCCAGGTGAGACCAGGATTTTGGGCGTGTCAGCCCTTCCATCGGACCTGGCAGGGCTTGTCTTAGGAAGGCCCTGGGAACAGAAGGTGCTAAGGTATGATATTCGGGGGGGGGGCTGGGGGCTGCCCTTAAAACGCAGACTTGCATGGGTGGGCAACTCCACCCAGAACCCTTTCCCCAAACTCCCTGCTCTTTGATGGAAGAAAGGGATGAATGACCCCAAGGGGGCGTCACGGCTAGGCTTCCTGCCAAAATCCGCAGCTCGCCTCCCACCCTGTTCTGGTTAGAGAGCAAGGGTCTCCCCCCCAGCAGCCCTTTGGCCTGATCAGCCTGCCCCTGACGCGTGGGGTGGGCAGCCCCTGCGAAGTCACCAGCAGTCCCTCTCAAACCCAATTGCCTCAACCACAACGGGTACTACAAATGCTGTTAACTAAGCAACCAATGTGTGCCCTGGTCATTCAGTCCCATTAAGAGCGGCTGAA